CCCCAAAACCCCAAAACCCCAAAACCCCAAAACCCCTAAAATCTCTAAACTTTATATATTATTTAAAATGGAGTAAGGCTATTTGGGAATTCATGGGCCCTGGAGCGGCAGCCGGCGCCCTCAGGATTTTCAGAGATTACAAACGTGTATTTTAGGCATTTTAGAATTGGGAACTACCTCGGGATGGGAACTGGATCAAAGTCTTCTTTGCCAATTTAAGAACCAAACTTTTTATTTAAATTTATTGGTCTTGATTTATCTGATATTTTAGAAGTAATACTTATTTGTTCTTGATAAAAGTAAGAATTTTTAAGGGAATTCCCTTCATAAGTCCTCGAAAGGGCTAAAATATGACTTTAGTGCTAAGATTCCCTAAAATAAGCCAGGGAGTTGCTCTCTATTAAGCTATAATGAGTAATCCTTGATTTTAAGCTACTTGGCATTCAATGATGGCATAAGCTGATTTAAGTCGATATATTGTCATTTTTATAGCTCCAAATTTATTTTATGGGTTTACTGTCCTACCTAGTCGATCAGGTAGCTACTAAGACTAGTGATTTTGCCATTTCATCAAAAGGTAGGTAGGAAGGCATAGGCTAAACTAGAAATAGGGTGAACCAATCGTTAGTATGCGTGAGTAATAGAGGCCATATTATCTCTAAGTGCTAGACTTCATTTATGACCAAGTTATGGTCGGTCACGGTAACTGGTGTTTTGTCCCATTCTCAAAAGTTTTGTAGTGGTGTTTTCTTTGTTTGGTATGGATTTAATCCTAATTTTTTAATATTACTAGCTGCTTTTATTATACATGTTTTGGGATTCGAGCATGAAGGGATGAAGGTAAATCAAGAGAGCACTTTAGTGAGGTCTAGTTAGCCTTAGAACTATCTTTTTCAGTTGTTTATTTCAGCTTACTTAATTTTTTCCATCTCATAAAGATCATGGGTTGGAGCAGAGCACTACAAGTTCTGCTTCAGCAAACTTTCTGTGTGGTTTGGAGCAGGAATAAAATTTATTCAGATTGGTTTGTGGGTTTTGAGCCAATAGAAATTCAGCATTAGACCACTGGCCAGCATCTTAATTTGAATTTTTTGACCTTCTTGGATTACCTAGATTAAGAATAACATGATGCAGCGGGGGATAGGTTATGTGAGTTTAAACCCCAATAAAATATTTGAGAAAATAATCCAGATTTTCATGATTGCTCCTAAGTAAAAATCTTGGTGAATTTGGCCAAACCATAAGGAAGCTGTGAAGAGAGTTACAAGGTGTGACCTCTGTAGCAAAGTCTTTTTGAAATTTCCTGCTACAGAGTTTAGCAGCTCCTCCAAATTTCGAAGATCTTTGTCTCAGTTTTGAGTGAATAATTGGTGCTATTTCAAAAATATTTTAAATTAATGATTTTTCTAGGAGAAAAGTCAAGAGTAGAATTGATAAGTAAGTTTGGTGCCAAACCACTCCTCTGCAATAATCCTTGAAGCTCAAATTAGGCTGCTTCAACCTGTGGCTTATAAAAACTCTCCTAACACTGCTATAGCAGACCTATTAAGAAGAGTACAAGGAACTCTAAGCTGAAAAGCTCGAGTGAGATAAGCATCAGTTACGGGTTTTCAAAGACAAAATCCTCATATCTGTCCCAATTCATCACTAAGAATGCTTACAAGTAAGCTCGTAATCAATCTTGGTAGAAACAAGAGCATCAAGACTTCGAGGAAAAAGAAGGACTCTGGGAAAAGCATGAATTTTATAACTCCGCCCTCAAAGATTAATTTTTCGCTGAACAATGGTAAAATTGACATGAAATTACAAGTAAAATTTGAGTCTAAATTGAATAGAAACTCAGTGAAAAAGTCTTTGCATCGCCTACAAAGGGTAGGCATCGGAGAACCAGGTCTACCATCACGCCTGAAATGCTTGGAAATTGTCCAATTCCACACTTAAATCATGAAGAGTAGGTCAAAATTTCCGGCTCCTTTTTCAGCAAGTGACTGTGGTTATAGGAAAGCACCGAAGAAGCCACCTCAGGAGTTTTCTAAGCAAAAGAAAAGGAAAGCTAATAAGACGAATATCGTCACATTCTCTCCGATTCTGGAAGAGGAAAACTATGATAATGTGATAGTCAAGACATGAGAAGAGGACGAAAAGGGTGAAATCAATGGGCCTAGCTACATTGATGCCATCAAATTTGCCTCTGTATATAATACCCAGGCTGACTCCCAAGGCTCCCAAGCTCTTGATGACCAAATGATCAAGGCTAAGATGGATAAGATTAATGAATACAGGGACAGACTTAGAAGAAAATCTGAGATTCTGAGCAGAAATGTCAAGAAGGAGGAGAGGTATAATGTGAAAAATACATCATCAAAGGCTGAATCTGGTATTGCAGGGTCTTCAACACGTGAATCACAGAACTAAATATATAATGTTTCTTCCAATTTCATGCTAAATTTTCGGGGTTTTGGGGTTTTGGGGTTTTGGGGTTTTGGGG